GTTTTCATTTGCATTTCCCTAATGACTAATGACTTCCAACATCGTTTCATGTGCTTATTTCTCATCTGTATCTCTTCCATGACGCTATTCAAATCTTTTGCCCATTTAAAAAAAACATTTTGTTATTATTGCATTTTGAGGGTTTTTTACATATTCTGGTTACAAGTCCTTTATCAGAAGTGTGCTTCGCAAATATTTTCTCCCAGTCTATAGTTTGTATTTTCATTTTTAACAGTGTCTTTGAAGAGCAGAAGTTGTTCGTTTTGATGAAGTCCAGTTTATTAAATTTTTCTTTTATGGAACATACTTTTGATGTTGAATCTAAGAAATCTTCGCCTAACTCAAGGTCACAGATTTTCTCCTATTTTATCTTCAGGAAGTTCTATAGTTTAGGTTTAACATTAGGTATATAATCTATTTTAACTTTTTATAATATATAGTAGGAGATATGGGTTGAAGTTCTTTTCTTTTTTGCAAATGGATATCCAATTATTCCAGCATCATTTGTTCAAAAGACTATTCTCCTTCATTGAACTACGTTGGCACTTTAATTAAAAATCAATTGGCTATATACGTGTGGGTCTGTTCCTGGACTCTTTATTCTGTTCCGTTGATCTGTATGTATATACTTTCCCCTATACCTCACTGTCCTGGTTAGTGTAGCTTCACATAATTTCTGCATCCAATAGTATGAGTCCTCAAACTTTGTTCTTCTTTTTCAAAATTGTTTTGGCTATTCTAGGTACTTTGTTTTTCCACACAAATCTTAAAGTCAGCTTGTCAGTTTCTACAAAGAAGCCTGCTGGAATTTTGATTAACAATGTTTTGAATCTGTAGATCAATTTGGGGAAAATTGACATCTTAACAGTAAGCTTTCCAATATATGAACATGGACTATCCATTTGTATAGGTCTTTGATTCCTCTCATCAACATTGTGTAGTTTTTAGCTGTACAGATCTTGCATCTCCTTAAAACACTGCCTGACACCTTATTTGCGTCTCAAGTATCTCAACTTAAGCCGTGTTTTTATTGCCCCTGTAAAAAATGGCTTGGAGGTGGCTTCTGACCTTCTCTAATTCACAAGGGGGAAGGAGAATCAAGATCTACAGACTAAGGCTGATTCCTATGAGGAGGAGATCAGACAAGCCTCCTCTTTCCACCATCTTTACCAATTCTGACACCAACCGTCCCTCACACGTCACTCTCTCCTTCTCTGCTGGGTTCAATAATTCATTGCAATGGCCACACAGAACTCACAAACAATACTGACGATTATGAGGTTTATTTGGGAAGTAACAGGTTACAATTCAGGCTCAAGAACACTCAAATTCTTCCATCAGGACAGCGTCTTTCCAGCCATGCTCTCAGGCACGCCTCTCCCTGGCCCTCAGACTCTGCCCAAAGTTACTCAGCTTTCTCTCCCCATGGGCTGGGAAGCCCACTGTGCCGTCTCCTGCGGGTCTCTTCTGTTGGTCTCTCCTTCCCTGGTGGTGGTGGGCTCTTCTCTTTCCCACCTCTGGGGTTGCTCATTTCAAGCCCAGAGGGATGTTAAAACTGACCACCCCTTTGGTGGGCCACAATGATCACATCTGCACAGTCCCTCCCAGTCACTTAGGTAGGAGTTACAAGACCATGGCTAGAAAGGCCACACAAAAGTAATTCATCACACCTCAGGCCCTTTGATTATCACTCCTTCCCTGGAACATGATCCTCCCTCAATCTTCCATCCTGATCCTCTCCTTACAGCCGGGAACTCCTTCTGCCTCCAAAACATATTTTACATCCATCCACTCCTTTGCATCTACATTCCATCATCCTAGGCTGGGCACCCCTATGCCCCACCTGGACTATTGCACAAGCTTCCTAACTGTTCTTCCTACTTCGACTCTTGCACCCTTTCCCTTCCCGCCCCCACCACCCCAAACGCCCGCATTCGAGCACAGGCTGTCCTGCAAATAAGTTCTGTACCCAGCAGCAGCCAAAGGGATCTTTTAATAATGTAAATCTAATAGTTTTCCTGCTCTGCTTAAAACCTACCAAGGTGACTGAAGCCCCACTGTGGTTGAGTCGATTCCATCTCATAGCGACCCCATGGGGTTTCCAAGGATGTAAATCTCTATAGAAGCAGATTGCCACATCTTTCTCCCGTGGAGATGCTCGTGATTTGAATCACTGACCTTTCGGTTAGCAGTCGAGTGCCTTAACCACTGCACCACCAGAGGCTCCTTAAGGTGACTACTGCCCTTAAAATAAAATCCAAATCCCTTATATGGGCTCTGCCTACTGCTCTCACCCCATTCCCTACTACTCTCTCCTTTGTTCACCTTTTTTCAAACACACCAACTTTCTTTGGGCCCTTGCATTGCCAAGCACTTTTCAGTCTCAGGGCCTTTGCCATGACTTTCCCTGCCTGGAATGGTCTCCCTACAATCTTTGCCTAGATAACTCCCACTCATTTATTTTGAATGTCAATCTGATTTTGAATGTCCCATTATTCCATCTCAGAGCACCTGGATCTTTTCCTTTTAATATTTGTAATATTTATCAGTTTATTTACATAATGATTGTCTCCCTTCCAGAACAGATGTATCCCCAGCACCTAGCACAGTGCCTGGCACCTTGTTGGAACTCAATAAATATTTATAAAGGAAGGGAATGCATAAATGAAAGGATGGAAATGAGGAGGAGGTGAGGAGGAGGTGAGTAAGAGGGCCTGGCAGGGGCCAGGAGGGAGTGGGGTAGGGGGGCCTTGCTCCTTCCCTCTATGCCTCCTGTACGAGAGTCTTGTGGGCCAGTCCTCCACAGGGAATGGGACAGATCAACAGCCTCTTTCTGCCCTCACCTTCCTTGCTCCCTGGGCATCATCCTCCCTTGGGCTGGCAAGTCCCGCCTGTAGCTCCTCTTTGGGTGTAGATCTCCTAGACCTGCTGTCTCTGCTATTTTGCAATGACAGTGGAGACATAGCTGCTGGCACCAGCTCTGGACAGCTATGTCCTGAACTTGTAGTTCTGCCTGCTGGGCACTAAGTGGCGAGGTGGCATGAGAGACTGGAGGGGGCAGGGCAGTGCCAAGGTTGCCAGGCAACTAAAATCTACCCCACCCCCACCCAATTCTTTGTTGGGGTGGTTAATGTGACTCAGTTTTATTCAGAGAGCCAGGCAACCGTGGCTTCCAGCCCTGCCCCCTGGCACCTTCCATACAGAGAGCCGTCACTTAACAAGGCCCAGATCCCCACTTTCCTCCCCACAGCTCACCTTTCTGCGTGAGTCGACCCATTTCACAGACACCAAGATGAAAAGTTGTTGGGAGCCCAGCTATGGAAGTTCCAGGTGTCACTGGTCCCTCTCAGCAAGGGCTTGGCTGGAATGGGGCTTGGCTGGAACAGAGCTTGGAGAGCCCTCCTCCCCCACATGCATGACCCGGCCAACAGATCTAGTGTCCTGTGTGCTTCTGAGAACACGCACGCTCCTGAGAGTCTGTGCTCTCTGGTGTGCTTTTGCATGTGTGTTTGTTAGGGATGAGGGGCACAGTTGGTGGTTTGTCTTCCAGGAGTTATTTCTGGGATGGAGCTTGGGAGAGATCCAGAGAACAGGAGAGACACAGGAGGCTTTTCCAGGTGCGTTCTAGGAGGCCCCTGTCAACCCCATCCCATCTTGGCCTAGGGCCTTCTCCCTGCATCCTGCAGGCCGAGCCCTCACACACCCCTCTGTGGCATTTTCTTCTCGTAGGTCCCCAGGCCCCTTGTCATTCACCGCCGCCGCCTCCAAGCCACCCCAGCAAGAGCTAGGTGGGTGCCCCTGGAAGAGCTGGGGGCAAGGCCCTGACTCACCCGGCGCTCTAAGGTGCCCCCCTCCCCACCCAAGGGTCCGAGTTTCCAGGATGACAATCGGCGGAGATTACACAGGGGCGGGCAGGTGTGGTGGTTCCGGGGCTCCATCTGGGCACACAGCTCTTCCTGGCTGGTCCCCCGGACGGGGACTGTGAGTGAGGGAAGGCGGCTGCCCCGGCGCCTGGGGGCCTGGGGACCAGTACAGGGCGATGGCAGCTGAGGGGCTGGAGCTGAGGGACCGAACGGCTGGGAGAGGTGCGGGGGTCTGCCCGGAGGGGACAGAAGAGGGCTGCAGCTCCCGCCAGGGGCAGGCTGTAGGTGAACGGGGGACTAGGAGCGGGCTCTGGGGACCATTGGGGAGGATCCTCCAGCGGACTGGGGAGTGGGGACTGTCTCGGAGCTGGGGCCTGGGGAGCGAGCTGCCAGGTGCCAGGGGCCAGACTGGGAAAGCAGGCTCTGGTGTAGTTAGGAGAGGCGCACATTTGGGGTGGGCGGGTCCTCGGGGATTGGCTGCTGGACTGCGCTTGGGGGTGGGTAAGGGTGAGGGTGAGGGCGAGCGTGCAGGCTGATGGGGGGTGGTCTTGGGGGAGACGAGCAGGTACTGATGGTGGTAGTCCGGGAGGGCGAGCTAGGGTTCGGCTTCCGAAGGGGGCTGCTGGGCCTGCCACGGGGTAGGCGAGGGGCGGGGGGCTGCGGCTCCGGGTCCGGAGGTGGTGGGGTAACCGAGGACACGACTCCGTTCCTGCCTGGCCTGCAGCGCCCCGGAGCGGGACCTAGCCCAGTGGGCCTGGCAGCTTCGGCCCAGAGCTCCGGCGGGCAGCCAACTCCAGCCCACTCGAGCCGCCCCGGCAGCGGCCCGCCCGGCCCTCCGCAGGCGCAATCAGTGGCGCCACTTCACCGCACCCACGGCTCCCTGCGCGCGGTGCGGGTGGGCAGCAGCCTGGGGATCACCCTCCGCCCAGGGCCCAGTGCCCACCTACCGAGGGATCCTGCCACCCTGCCCGGCCTCTCCGTACCACCCAGCAAGGCCGCGCCTCAAGCGGGGGATGGAAAGTGTCCAGGCCCAGGCTGGGGGCACCGGCCCTCAGTCTCTCATTTGTGTCGGCAGCGTCCGTGCCTCTGTGAGGGGCTAAGAACACCTCTGCCGACCAGCTCTGGGACCTCTGGCTGGTTATTGAGCCTCTCTGAACCTCAGGCTACGCATCTGTTAAACGTACTTAATAATAACACCTACCTCTTGGGGGTGGTGTAAATCATAAATAAGACATTCCATGCGAAGTCGCTTAGTACTTAGGACTCTCCCGGGCTTACACTCTTCACTCTCCCCTCACCCTAAAGTACCTGATGAGCAGAGTGAGCCTCGGAGAGGCTAAGTAAGGGCCCAGGAGTCACTCAGCCAGTGGGATTCCAACCCAGGCTTGCCCTGGGTGCCCGCGGTAGCTGAAGGGGAGGGAGGTGTGGAGTTGCTGGTGCTGACCCAGTTCTGTCCCCTTGGGCAAGTCGTGTTTCTCTTTGGGCTTCAATTTCCACATGCGTTGAATGAGCAGAGATTGCGTTCCGAAAAGGGGGCTTGGAGACTGAGACTAGGGCCTCTCCTGATCTGCAGTCTAGCCACCACCCACCGACACACCCCCACACGCTACACCCCCACGGTCACACCTCTACAGCTTCAGTCTCTCAGGGGCTCCTATCGGTGACTGCTGGCTCTGGCATTTGGATCTGGGCAGAGGGGATCAGGCCAACTGTGGGGAGACTTCCAGGTTCCCCGGATCCTTGGCTTCGAGTACCACAGGGGCCAGCCTGGCCTTCTGAGCTGCGGAAGAAAGGCTCAGGCCAGGGCACATCCCTCCTCTCGGTTGAGGGTGGGCTGGAGATCTGCGGTCTCTCCTTATTCCATGAACATTTTCTTCTTAGAGAAGCTAAGTTTCCTGGGGATCCGCCAAGGCTTCCCCTGGGACCTCTGCAGCCCCATCTCCCCCACACCCTGTCCCTGGTCCTCACATGGTCCCAAGGCTGCTGGGCCCTCGTTCACCTCTTCTCTCACTGACATTTCCCTCCCTGACGCTGCCTCTCTGTCCTGCCTTGGGGACCTCAGCAGCATCTTCCTGTCCCCCTTTAAGTCCCCAGTCCTGCAGAGACCACTGAGTTCACTAGGCCAGTGCTGATGGCTTCTCAGAGGATGACAATGGTCACTAGCTAAGGAAGGCAGGGCCCCAGGACCCCTTAACCACCCCCTCCGCCCTGCCTGGTTCACCTCCCCCCAGCCCAGTATAGATCTGGTGGCTGGATGGGGTTGGGTCCACTCAGAAGCAGACTGGATTGCCAGAGGAGTCTGGTTGGACAGCCTCCAGGCAGGCCCTCCCTGAGCCAGGCACCACCTGGGATTTCCCACATGCAGAACCAAAGAAGGGATCAAGAGGCAGGTGTCCCTCCCTCTCCTGCATCCTTGCAAGTATCCACGCTAATAGAGGGTATTCATCCTGCTTCAAGATCACATTGCCCTCTTGCCACCAGAATCCACCATGTTCCTGTGCAGGCTCGAAGCTTACAAAGCCCTCTCACTCAAGTTGTCTCATGTGGCAAAGACTGCTGGATAGAAGATTGGTGGGTAGGTGAGCATGTGTCTGAGCGGGCCTCTCTGCCTGCCCCTCAAGTGACCAACAGGAAGTAGTTCCTGGTACCCTTGTTGCAGAAGAGAAGTGGGAGGAAGTCACTGTGGGCAGGTGTGAGGTGGGCTCCCCCCAATAAAAGTCTATCTGTGGAAGGAGGGCATCAGGCCCCCACCCTCAGGCCATCTCAGGGATCCCTGTCAGAGGGATGTCAGGTCAGACCACAGGGACCTTTCTGGGATTGAGACTCCTGCCATGACCACATCCTGCCCCGGGAGCCCTTGCTGCTGTCCAAGAATGTGGAGACATTTGAGTGCGGAGCATCCTGAGCCCACCAAGCCCTTGGTCCTGCCTGCCCAGCCCCTGGTGGCCCTCAGTGAGATCTGCAGAGCTAGGAAGGCCCCCTGCCTTGGCACTGCTGCTCCAGCCCCAAAGGCCTAGAAAAAACCATCCGGGGGGTGGGGAAAGATGGCTGAAATTGGGACTCTCTGCCCTCTCCTTGGGCCCTCACGCTGAGGTCCCCTCTCACCTGGGTCTAATTTGGCCCTTGCCTCCCAGGGGTTGAACTTGCCTCTAACCTCTTATCCACACCTTACCCCCCTACATAACAAAAAAGCACAGCCAAGGCCCAAATCAGACAAACCATTTTGCTGACTTAATTTTGAGGGCTGGGGAAGTGTTCAAAACAGGAAACAACTTGGGATGGGCTGCTGTCATATCACAAGCACACACGTGCACACACTGACCACATCCGCAGCAAGTGGGCTCTGGTTGTGTATGCGTGGTGACACGTCATGGAGACTAAGAGTAAAACATGATGTGCAAAAATGTCAGGAGCCCAGGAACAAGACTCCCACCAGATGGCAAGTTCCAGAGGCCTGGGAGACAAGGAAAGCCGGGTGGACTTGGGGCCTCCCTTATTGAACTAAGCGTTCCTCCGTGGCTTGGGCTCCAGAGGGTCAGGGAATGGGATGAGGTTGGGGCTACCTGGGCCAGAGTGAGGAGGGCTCCCTCCTGCCTGAGCATAGAGTACATTCTCAACAGAGATGAAACTGCTGTGGGCGGACGCAGGCAGGGGTGCCCAGGGGGCCAGTGCCTGGGTCTGGGATGTGGTGGGAATGGGGAGCGGTGGCCACCGGGAGAGTTGCTGGTGGTGGTGGGCCATCTCCAGGGCTGCTGGGCAGAAGTAGTTAGTGTTGACGGTGGTGTAGGGGATGTGGAGGGAGGCCCGGGAGGTCTGGCCAGCAGGCTGCAGGAGTAATAGGGAAAGAGGGACAAGTGAGACTCCCCCTAGCTCATAAACCCCCAACTCCAGCTCCTCTTGCTGCCCGCTCCACACATGACCCCCTGTCCTCACCTGAGCTCGCCTTTGTGTCCAGGGGCTGGTGTGGGGTGGCAGAAGCCTAGGGACAGACCTGGGAGAAAGACAGAGGCAGAGGCAGAGCGTGCGCTAGCTCAGCAGTGTGGGGATTTTGACTGGGGTTGGGGATGGGGCCAGGGCCCAGTCTTACCAATGCCTCTGCTGAAGCAGGTGCAGGAGGAAGATACAACCAAAGAGGAGGACCCCTGAGACCCCAAAGATCCCGGCCAGGTGTGCCCTCAGAATGGAGGCTGGAGTAGGGGCAGGAAGATCTGCCACAGAGAGAGATGCACCAGATGGGCAGCTAGGGTCCATGAGCCCCTCTCTGCCATCCCTAGTCCCTGAATCCTTCCCTTCCCTCCCTGGACCCCTCTCCTCATCAGACCTACCTTGGTCTGTGCTGAGAAGGAGGTTCCCACAGGCCTCCTGGGAGCCCTCAGGGAAGGACACAAACTTGCAGCAAAAGGTGCTGTTGGGACTGGGGCTTTTCCCCTCTGACCCTCCAAGGGTGAGGGAGATGTTGGTTCTGGCTTCCCAGTGGGCCTGATGAGCAGGGGCCCACTGCTGTGTGCCGAAGTCAGGGTGCAGCACAGCCAGCCTGGTCCCTCCGGCAACATCTGGCCCCCCCCAGCTCACAGTCACCAGGGAAATGGAGCCTGATCCCAGGAATCCACAGCGGATAGTGAAGGATGGGACCTTAGTGGCCTCCATCTTAATTTGCACCCACACCTCAGGGGTCCCTGTGGAATACAGAGATAGGAGGGTCTGAGGCTGTGTTTCCACCTCTACCTAGGGTGGCCTCTGCTTCTCTCTGACCCCTCCCCCAGGCTGTGGCCTCCAGCCCAGCCCAGCCCAGCCCAGCCCAGCCTCCCACTCACCAGTACTGAGACAGAGGGTCAGCAGGACCAAGAGTAGAGCCAGGGGCTGGGGCCCAACCATGGCTCCCCTCTGCCCAGGCTCTGGGGCTACTGGGGACAGCACCTGTGTTTCCGTTCTCATCACAGGAAGTTTTCATGTTGGGAGCAGGTGGGGCGGGGACAGCAGCCCAGCCCCGCTTCCTGTTCTCATTGTCACCTGAGAGATGGTGAATGCCGCCAGCAGTCCCCAGGTTACAAATGAGATCCGTTCCTAAGTATGTATTTAAGAATTTGTAGGTAAGTTGGAACAGGTGTGTACAGTTCTTATCTAGCCTTACTTTAGTGCAAGAAAAGGCTCGAAGTCTTTTCGGGGATTTAAAACCTGCATGTGCAACAAGTGAAGGTGATTGTGAGGAAGAATTTCTTATGAGTAGGGGTTGGTTCAATCGTTTCAAAGTGAGGGCAGATTTACATAATATTAAAGGGCAAGTACGGAGTTGAGTTGTATGTAGGACGTTCATAACCCGGGGACTTACTGTTCTGGGTTATTGATCCCCCTCCCTCAGGAAACTTAAAGTGATAGTGACAAGGTTTTCCTTGTCCCCAAAGTCTGTGCTTTTGTGTGAGTAGGGTAGGGCAGGCTCAGGTTCCCTTCACAAGCCGCCTGTGGCCAGCGCAGGCCCTGGAAAGGATGCTGGGATGAGGGAGGGAGAGATGCTGCAGGTGAAGGCTCCAAAGAATCTCCTTCCTGCAGCAAGTGGAGGCACCTGGTTTCTCATGAGGAGCACTTCTCTGAGTCATGCCCCTCATCCAGCTAAGGGGAAAGGATGTGAGGAATTTGGGAAGAGGAAATGTCTGTAAGCAGAGGCCAGCAGGGAGGCTATGGAAGAACTAAGCTCAGCTTGCCCACCACATATTTATTGAGGACACCTGAACTGGCCTTTAAACACCCTCTGTGTCAATGGGAGTCCCTGGGTGGTGCAAACGGTTAAGTGCTCAGCTGCTAACAGAAAGGTTAGTGGTTCAAGTCCACCCAGAGGTGCCTTGGAAGAAAGGCCTAGAGATCTACTAAAAAATTGGCCATTGAAAACCCTATGGAGCACAGTTCTACTCTGACACAGAGCGGGTCGCCATGAGGTTGAATGACTCAACGAATGGCTCAATGGCAGCTGGTACTGGTTATGTGCCAATGAGTCCCATGTTTACCTCTCTGGCCCAAACTACACTCCTGAACTCCAGTCTCAGGTATCCAGCTGCCTACTTGTCATTGACTCAGGGATGCAAACATCACAAACTTGACTTGCCCAAAACTGAGGTCTGCTCCGTCTGCAGCTGTCCCCATCACAGTCGATGGCAACTTTCTTCCAGTTGCTCAGGCCTAGAACATAGTCATCTTTGACTCCTCTTTCACTTCGAACCCATCAGGATATCCTGTGGGCTTTCCCCATCCAGACCAACTGACCACTTCTCCTCACCTCCATTGCCACCTCCTGATTCAAACCATCACCTGGATTTCTGAATTTCTAGCTGGTCTCCCTGCTTCTACCTCTGCCTTCCCTCTGTCCATTCTCAATACAGCAGCCAGCATGATCCTGTCAGGAAACCTGCACCAACTGATCACACCACTCCTTTGCTCACCCCATTCCACTCAGAGCAAAAGCCTCTAAAGGCTCCACATGACCCGGCCCTGCTTCACCCCTCAGACCTCCCCTCCTACCTCACTAGCATACATACTTGTTGCATTAAAACAACTGGATTTGGAGGTGGCAAGGAGAAGAGGCTGATGCTTGCCTGTGAGGGCCTGGCCTCTAGAGTGGTGGCTGGAGTGGGGAGGGGGGCAATGAGAGACTCTGTGGCGAGCATCCTCTACCTCCTGGCTCTTGGATCTATCACAAGTTCTGTTTTCTTCTCCCACAAAGCGTTGCTCCAGATTGCTTTCCTGTTTTTGAGCACATAAGGAACGCAAACCAACTAGGACCCTGCTGTCTATGCAGTGACCTCCAACTCTCGCCAGAGATCAAAAAGCTTTGTAGTCCTGTCTTATCACGTGGTGCTGCGAGCCTGAATCCAGGGACAGAGAGTAGCTGGGTGAGCTCAGCATTAGAGCCAAGGGCTCTGTCTTGTGAAACAGTTTGTCCAGGACTTTGTGAGAACTGAAGGATGGCCCTGTCCCAGGGCTGTAGTCCTGAGGCCTGGCTTGCCCACATGCCCCAGATTCAGCATCTTTCTTTAATCCTGTGATGTTAGCCATAGGCCAATTCAGTCTTCTAGGCAAACTCAGTCATCCCACCCATACCTCAAGACTGCAACATGGTCTTCACAAGAGCCTAGATCAGCAAAGTCTCCAGGTCAATCACATCACTGCTCCCAGCCCACTTAGCATTCTCTTGACCTTTGACCTTCTCTCAGGCCAACGTACCAATCCCCAAATCCGGCTCATGCTTGTGTTCACCACTTTCTTCACTACTGTTGCCAGGCCAGGGTGTGAGACCTGTGCAGAACTGACCCACTTCAATTTGGCATATCACACTATGGGTACGGAACACCTGGGGCACCTGGGACTGCTGGCCTCCACCTCCTTAGTCTAGAAGACCCTTTTCTCTCACCTACTGAAATCCTACCTACTTTGCAAGGCCCAGCTCCAAGAACCACTTCCAGGAAGTGCCCCAGAGTTGTACATTTCCTTCTTGTACAACCATTGCGCTGATGGCAGGTCATGACCTACCCAGGCTCTCAGTAGGCCCGGGTGTGGCTGCTGGGGTGGGGGTCAGTTTTCATAGGTTGACTCTAAGCCGTGAAGGAAAGGCCTGTCCTTTTTTCAACCCTCACACCAAGTACATAAGGGAAACTCAATATTTAATACTTGTTGACAGATGGATTAAAAGCCATGCTACAAAGTTAATTACTCACTAATCTTTTCATTTTTTTTTAATCTTGTAAGCCACATGGTCTCCTTTTTAAAAGTATACCTTGGTAAGTTCTCATTGTATCAGATTCAAATAATGTAGAAGAATAAAAAACAGCAAAGTTCTTCACCAGCCTTCTCATTCCCATTCCCCTTCCGATTTTAATTTTCATGAGGTTAAAACTATCAATCTTTTATCATTTCTGGACTTTGTGTATTGCCTAGGAAGGCTGAGATTACAAAAATATTTCTGTAGTTTTATTTTTATACTTAACTCTATAAAGGGTTTATTCTTAGTCCATGAAGAATTTTATTTTCGGAGTGGTGTAAATTTGCAGTAACATTTTAAGTGGAGAGAGTTACATGTCCCCAAACCACTTGTTAACTAGGCTCTCTTACCTTGATCATAAATTCCTACAAATAATGGATCTACTTCTGGCTTCTCTTTCCTGACATGTCCATTGACTTACTTGTTTAGTCCTGTTTCAACACCATGATTCCAACTAGAATCTCTTTGTTTTAACATGTGAGGACAAGACTCTCTTGTCCTTTTTCAGAACTTTCTTGGCTGTTCCTGAACAGTCTCCAGAATTTTGGACTCCAGAGACATAAAAGGTCATGAAACCTAGCAACATTAAGCCCTGTATCATCAGGCCTACATTGCTGGCCTCTTCCCACTTTGTCCTGGAGGTACAGGCAAGATGATACAGGTGCAATAATGACCACTTCCTGCCTTGACATTTCCATGAAATCCCTGCAGCCACAGCCCAAGTCCTGCGACAGTGAAAACAGTCCTGGTGCTCTCTAGAACTTGGCTCATGAGGCTTTGAACTGCTGCCACAATTTAATAGCTGTGCAAACTTAGTGACTAACCTCTTGAAGAAGCAACACCCCAATAGGGATTGCACTCTCTGCTTCAGAGGGTAACTAACAGGCTTCAAAAAGTTTAGGTGGGCGCTACACTCTGCATATGCCCAGCTTGTGCCATCAGAGAACGTTGGTGACCATCCTTTTAATACGAGACGTTCCTTGAGTTTAGCCTAATCTCTCCAGGGCACTGGAATTAGTTTTCTTTGTGGCTTCCGTGGAAGAAGAGGTGACAATACAGTCATGATCTTTATTGTGCCTCCCCAAGCAGATTAAGGGGCTTTCATTTTCAGGTGAGGGCCTGCCCCACCTCTGGCACTTTCCTTGGAAGAGGCAGCCTTCACAGTCTGATCTCCTTATTCCAGCCGCCATTCCGGGAAACCAACAGCTCCTCCCTGAGCAATCCGTTCTTGCTGTAGGCCTGTTGAGCCTAATGGAGAAAGAAACGCCGGCAGCTGATCCTGGTGTGCCTCAATTCCTGAGGCTGAAACACAGGGTCCTGGAGGGCCTAGTTTTACCACTCTGAGAAAGTAAAATAGCATAAAACGCCAATTTTATAGCAGAGTAATACTTTTGAGATAATAACCAATTTTGTTTTTCCCAGTACTTCCTTTTCTCTTCCTCTCTTTCAAGTAGAGCTATTTCTGATTTTCAAAGGAGAGGTGTGACAGGGGTGGGAGTGACAGTTGTCTGCTGGTCTCTCTGGCTTTTGTCTCAAAAGCCCAATAGCCCTCTTAAAGAATCTGAGAACTTGTGGTTCACATAAAATGTTTGAGAGAAGTCAGGGAAGAGAGGAAAGCTTACTCCACAAGCCAGAAAGAGCCCCCACGTTGTTTGGGAGAGAGAAGGTGAGGAAGTGATGAGATGTAGTTCTGAGTTCAAGGGAGGAGGGCCAGAGCTCCAGGAGGGGGCAAGAGCCTGGAGAGGGGGTGGCTGCATGGTGAGTTCAAGGACCACTGCAGGACTCGAATCATGGCACAGGAGAAATGACGAGGACATGCTGTGTGGGCAGAACCAGACCCCCTCGCTCCCCACCCCCAAATGCTTTGGCACTTGATACAACTTTCAGAAAAAGGATGGAAGCTGGAAGAGTCAGGGGTTACATTTTTCCACCAATCAGGCAGAATAAGAGGTTGAAATAGAAATTATATTGCAGAGAAAAATGTCTCTCCTTATCTGAGTTTGTAGAATGAAGACTTCAATATTTATTTTCACATATATTTTAAGTGTTGTGAAAAAGGCTACTTTTGTTCCTGTATGCTTGTAATACACCCTACTTTTTATCAAAATAATATAAATAGTAAGAGGTAACAGCTGAATGACTCACATATATTAGCTCAATACTTACCATCACTTTATGAGGGCAACAACTTCCCCAGGGTCACAAGGCTAATAAACAGCTGAGCCAGGATTGGAACTCTGACAATTTCATCTCCAGAACCCACAGTCTTAACAACTATGTTGAATTGCCTCTCCTGCACAAAGTTAAATTAAAACTGAACTACAAGGTTTCTGTTAAAAAACACCGGTCCTCTGCTCCAACAGTGGAAAGCCTGGCATTTATATATATAT